CTGCAAAAAATAATTCATTCACCAGCTCCCTGAGGTATATTCCCTTGTATGAGTAGATTGTGTGAGGAGCTCACTCACAGGTGAAATGCTGTCATCTTAAAATCTCAGTGGAGGGAGTCAGAAGAGAAGACTTCATTATGTTCCCCCAAACATCTGGCCTTCCCAAATATGTCATTAGACGTTGACCAGGTGTAAGGCATTAGAGTGGATTGCTATGGTATTACAAGGAGGAAAGAAACACAGTCCTCTGCAGCTCTATGGAGACTCTTTCTGCTCCCACCTCTGTATCTTTGTATTCACAACCCTCTTTGCACACGGGAGAGCCATCCCCTGACTCTGATGTTTCTAATTACTCTTTTTCCCTTTCTGCAGGAAGGGATCAGAAAAATAATCCCTGAAACCCAGCTCATTCACACTGCGCTGCTAACACACTGGGCATTTGCTCACCCTCTCTGCTTAATTGTTTCAAAAACGTTTCTACCCTATTCTGCAGAGCTCGAATCAGTCAGACAGAAACCTGTGAATTTTCGCTCTAGTCCTAAGGTTCAGATTATTTTGCAACAGAACTGTATGTGTAAAGCCCATTGGCCAAATGTCCTATGCTCTATACATCCATAAGAATATATTTCAGTAGTAAGCCATTATCTGCTACTGAAATCATTAAGAATAACTTTTTGTATCTAAAGCTACATAGTCATGTTCTCAGTGGTTTACATGTCAACTGTGAAAACCCAAATGGACATCTACGGACCATTTTTCCTGGAGATGTCACAAAACTTCATCATGATCCTATGAAAATGCCCAGCTTCCCTGGGAAGTGTTGGTCAGGTCTTCTGTAATGCTGCCTGTGGGAAATCATGTATAATTTTAATGCTGCAGAGGAAACAAGTCAATGGACCTTTAGTTCTCCACTCAGTCTAGAGATTAGAGAAGCTGGGAATTTTTAGACCACATCTGGAATCTTGTGCAGTCTTCAACCCCTGTAGCTACCTTTGGATTGAGAACTTATTTAGGTGTAGTTGTAGGTTTTCATGGGAAAATAGAAGTTGCTACAGAGGGACTCCCAGGAATGTGCCAATCAGTTGGATGCTTGCAACCTAGAGAACTGGGTAACGGTATTCAAGGTTCCCCTCTTCTGATTTCACTAACAGACCATTTTAAACAAGCATTTACCACCACATCTCTGCCTGCAACCCTCATTGTCCAACTATAATTTTATGTAGTAATCCCATTTCTGTACTTTGATCTTTATACTTTTTTGTGTGTAATTTTCCCTTCATTATATCTTATTTTTTTAGAGATGCTTTATATTTTCGGGGGGGGGGTACATCAATGCTTATGAGTACTATCTCCCACATGGTAAAGGATTCACACATTCACTTACTCTTACTTCTTTCTATAATTTCTAGGAATTGGCTGCATATACTCAGACTGCCATTTTATGACTGTGAGTTTCAAACCCAGGTTCTTAGTCATGCTAGGTACATACTCCACCACTAAGATACATGCCTTTCTTAGAGTTACATGTTAAAATCTAAGTGTAAATATTATTCTTAGCTTTCAATCATCTGTTTGTTGAAAGATTTTTCCTAAACTAATACTTTGTTTATTTATTCTAATTATGTAAGTTTATAATTTAAGCCATATATTTCAGAAATGCATTAGTCTCTTCTGAACATGGCTGTCCAGTGAGCTCAGTCTTCATGTACCACACCATTGCAATGTCAAAAGTAACATCATTGTAACCTTTACTTGTTTTTCTTCCATTCTGAACAAACCAATAGTTTTTCCCCTCAAAATGTTGTTTGATGTTTATACTGAATTAGATGTTCCTCTTTAGAACAACTCCCTGACTTTGAGTAACACTCAAAATCTTTTTAAACAGAGAAAACACTAGGATCCACCCAGCAGATGCAGATTTCAAACTTGCAAACTCTCCAGATCTTTTAAAACTTCAGAAACAGTGCCTTAAGTTGAAATGTTTAAATGTCATTGCAAGCAGATAAGCAAAGACAATGGTAACCCATGAAAGTTGGTGAGCCAAAAGCCTGGAGACAAAGCCTTGCTTGCCGTGTAGTGCAGTCCTAGAGACTGAAAAAGCACAGACAAAATTTAAATTTAGAATTTGCTTGTTTTTTTTTCCTGATGCTGAATTGCAACTATTACACTATACAAAAGGTTGGGAGATGAATGAATCCCTCTTCTTAATAGGGGAACACTTACCAGTGTACCATTAGAAAGATTTGCTTCAAAACACTTACACAAAGTCAAAATTCCTTTTACAATGATTCCAGACTTCTAGAACTTTATGGTTTGGATCAAATAAATATATTCTGGGATTTAAAGCATTTGTAAATACATTCAACTTTACCAAGTGCATAGAACGTGGTCTCCTCCTTAGACATATTCTTGTTGATCACATAAAGCCTAAATGCTCTCTGGCTTTAGACAAAAGTCACCTGAGGCTTGTGCCTTTAGGAACTTGCACTATGGCTACACTTAGATCAAAGTTGAGCTCTGTGATGCCCACTGTGGGTATTTTAATGCTCCTGTTGATGTTATAATATTAAAATTTTAGGTTCCAATATCTGTAGTCGTTATCAAAAAGGTTAAGCAGTTTTATTAGCACTATCTTTCCCTAGACAAACGTGGGGATGCAAATGAATGTTCTTAGTGTGTGAGGAAGAAAACAGCCCCTGTTTATGTGATGTCTCCATTGACAAATCATTACTCCATTGGAGTTATTGCAATGACTGATCTAAATTAGGAAAAGACTTCAGTACATTATTTCTTACATGTCTATATACTTCAAAATGTATTAGAATCTAATTTATACCCAGTCTAATGCACCCTTTTTAGTGTAAAGTTATATTCATTTTGATTTATTCAAAACTATCATAACTATGATTTCACTCAAAATATAAAGCCCCGCACCACTACACCCTTTCCTACCCAACTTTGCAGTCAGTGATACCCAAAGACCCTCTTAGGTAACTTATAACTTGGCTTCTGTCACTATGGATTAGGGTTTCAGGTCTAGAACTGGTCTATTTCAAAGAAATCACCTGGGTGTGTGTGTGTGTGTGTGTGTGTGTGTGTGTGTGTGTGTGTGTGTGTGTTTACAGCTGTCTTTCCCAGTGTGATTTTGAGATTCATCCATTGTGTCATGTGAATGTGGCTGATTCTTCTGATTGTCCAACCTTGATCTATTGTTTATATTTGTTTACTTGCTGTTAGTATTCGTGAGGGTTACTTCTAGTTTAAACTGCTGTGAATGAAACAAATACATGCCATTTACATTTGTGAATATGTACATTAAGTGTATGTTAAATTTATGTTCCACTTTACATTAAAATTTCCCTCCACAGTGCTTACTCAGTTTCTTGGTCCAGAGCTAATGAGGGTGAATTTTGTGGCTCACTGTCTTACCAACACTTGAAATTTCCAGTCCATTTAATTTTGGTCTTTCTAGTGGCTCTATCCACTGTTGTTCAATTGTCATTTATATGATAATGATATTTACTATATGTTCATGTACTTTGCTTATTTTCATACTCCTATTTTGATCATTTTTAGTTGGGTTGTTGGGTTGTAAGAGTTGTGTGCTATAAATTCTCTTCTCATATATATTTGATGTCATTTTTGTCAGAAATAAGTATATTTTTTCAGAGAGTTGACTTTTCCTTGATTTCTAATGATGTTTGAATGGAAACAGTGTCATTTATAGAGGCAATCAAGTAACCAAGTAAACAAGAAGAGATAATTACTTTGATTCCTATAGGATATGGCTTGCTTCCTTTTAGAAATGGCAAGTTGGACTTACTCAAAAGAAAAATGCTACTGAGGATAAAGGCAGAAATCAGAGTGACACATTTACAAAACAAGACATCTCCAAGACTCACAGAAAACTACCAGAAGCTAAAAAAAAAAAAAAAAAAAAAAAAAAAAAAGGAATAAACCAAGGAAAGGAATCAGGTTGGCCACACCTTGATCTTTGACACACAGCTTCCACAGTGTGGAAAAAAAAATACATTTCCATTTAATTCATGAAGTTTTTCATACTTGGCAAAGACAGTTCTGGGAAACTCAAGCAAGTCTTTCATTTTTTTTTTCCTTTTCAGAGAGGGCTTTTTGTGTTCTAGGGATCTCTGCCTTTCTCAAGGTTATGAAGATTTACTTCCCTGCTTTCTTTTAGATATACATTATTTTCACATTACATGCAGGCATGTGTGTACTTTCCTATTCACTGGTTTCACATTTGGGTTTTCCAATGCCTGAGGGAGTGCTTTATTCTTGTATATTCTCTAGAATCAAATCATAGTTTCTGGCAACAGTGTAATATATGAGATGGCTCTGTGCCCATTCTTGAAAGTTCAAGTTGGAGCAGGTTTTATTTCCAAGGAGATAAGGACCCATGTCCTTTTGATTTCCTTTCTACTGACTTAGAGATAATGGCAACTGATGTCTTAATACCAATTTCTGAGTACCCAGGAAGGTCATGCTTTGTGCAATCCCTTACTCCTACTTCCCTTCTTCCTCTCAGGATAAACTCTGTGTGTTCAGATCCAATGGGCATGGTTCTACCTAACTGTCCTGGAAGTACTGAAACAGGAGGTCTTTTCTATTTTATGTACAGCAGTGCCAAAGTTCCCAAGGGCATAATATCAACATCACCCTCCACAACAAGAAATGAAACACCCATCTCCACACAAGTTACTATCACCAACAAAAGCTACTCATCCACTCTTCCTTTCAGTTTGGAGTCAAAGGCTTTCTAAGGCATGGAAAGAACTGAGACAATAGTTTCAGTAAAGTTCTTCTATACATTGCTTTCCTGGAGTGTGGAACTCAGCAGCAGATACATAGGATAGATTACTTTTGAGATGCTGCCTTACTGCATTCACATACAAGATTAGTTTCTGGCTGCTGATGTTCCTTTTGCATGAGAACCAAGCTCTCTTGATACATCCTTGCAAAACCCAGCATGGTAAATACTTTACCCTTCACTGACAGGTGTCTCCATGTTACGGTTGGTTCTGGTCTGCCAATTGCAAGACATAACAGAGTCACACTGCTTCCTTCATTCACTGTAATGTCTGAAGAGATGTTCATTATCTGGGGAGGAACTGTAAAGAAATACAAGAGATTAGAAAAAGCTGAAAATTATTCCTTGCACTTAAAAAAAAGTCGTCAGCCTGTAAATATGCATATATCATATTATGTATTTGTACATGAATATCATGTTAATGCCACTTTGCTCACTTTGGCAAATATCTGGCCAATGATACCATTTATATAGAATGTGTCTAATAGAAAAACCTGTGTTGTGCTCTGTTAGAGTAGCTTGTAGGTGTAGGTATGCTGTCACTGGTAGAAGATCTGAGGACAAGAATGTAACCACTTAATCAATTAGAGGCAAAGTCAAAGATAAAACACAAGGACCTGCAAGAGTCCTTCACTATCCAGAGGTTCCTTTCTTGTTTACATAGATGAGAGGAGGTTCCCAGTCACAGATTACTCCCAATCCCTTACTACAAAAGTCAAACACATTGGCTAATTACTATGTCCAAAGCATTCAGACTCTCTCTAAAGCTTTGAAGTTGGACAAAGTATATCTTCCCAGAATTCTTTTCCCCATTGTTAACATTTATTTTTTATTATGGTTATATAGTGGTTGTTTATTTTAAGTCTACATAAATCCAACTCTACAGAACTTTTAGTAAATATGGAAAATTATACAGGACACTAAAAATAAAAATGAATAATTGAGCATGCAATTTGTATAAAAAAGAAATATTTACAAAAAATAGTTAACATCTAAAACCAGAAAGTTTCCATTGATCAATATAACTTCCAAATCCCATTCAAATTTTGCTTATTGTTTTTCTTTTAATTTTGTTTTGGGAACAAACATACACAGATTTAATGTGTTTTGCTCAAACATAAACCCCACTCACACCTCTGTAATTTCTCCCCTACTTCACCACTACTTTCTTTTGTACTCTCTTTCTCTGTCTTTTTTAAAACTACTGAGTCTGTCTAGTACTGCCCATAGATGAGTATAAGATCATCTACTGGAGCATGGATAGCAATTTAGGGGCTACATCCTTGAACCAATCATGTTCTCCCACCCTTAGCAGCTATCAATTGTCAATGTCTGATAATACTTCAGTGGCTTTCAGTTCAGATGTACAAGTGTCCTATTGTATATAGAAAACTCTTTGCCTATAGTCATTCACTGCCTTTGGCTCTTACAGTACATTCATCCACTTTTTTATGATGGTGCTTTGAGCCTTGGGAGATAGGTTATGACATAAATATCTCACTTAGAGTTGAGTACTCTAAAATATCGTATTCTCTGAATATTCACCAGTTATGGGTCTCTATGTTTACTACTGTGTTAATTATCTACTGATCAAAGAAGCTCCTCTACTGAGTATTGAGAGATTCACTAATCTATGGATAAGAACTTAGGGACCAGTTTAACACTATGTCCATTTAGTAAAAGAATACTATTAGGGTCTTCTCTACTGCTTATGAACTAGCCTGCCACAGATATTTTTTTTTAATCTCCAGCTAATGATCAGTACCAGGCTTCATGAATTATGAACCAAACATGAATTCTATCTTGTGATCAGGCCTCAAATATAATCACAAAATGTTTGATTGCTAAACATGAACTCTGTCTTGTGATCATGCTTCAAATACAATCACAAAATGGTTGATTGATCCCAAAACTATTGTGCAACTATTACAACAGTGGGAATGTCTTGCAAGGTCTGATACTGTAGCTCACAGGACTCTTCACAGGATAAGAGTATTGAATACTTTTTCCCTTGGATTTGAAAATAGATCCTTATAGCACCATGAAAATTAGCCAATAGGGATAAAACTTCCAGGTAAGCACTAGCTTGATTTCTCTATGGCCTGAGAATCAGGCATGTGATTTATTCAGCAATAGGGTCAGACAGTATAATTCTAGAGGATAATCAAGACCAACAGCAATAGCCTGTAGTATTTTTTAATGGAGGGTGGGGTCTGTGGCCCCAAAATAGGTAACCTGAACATGGTATTTGACTTTTTATTTGGCAGCTTATGGTGTCTGAGAGACTCATTGTTCTGCCATTATAGGATAACTCCTTTTAAATTCCCTTTCTATATGTACATGTATGTATTTTGGAAAACTTCTACAGTAGTAGGGTTCTATACATCATTTCCAAATGTCTTGCTTTTTAATTATCCTGCTTCTACTCTGTCTTCTTTTTTTCCACTCCATTTGTTCCATTATTACCACTCCATCTTCATTTTCTTGTCATTTCTTAATCTCTGAATTCTTACCTATCCTTTAAAACTCTGCAAGTTTCTCTTGATTTCTCGATTGTTGTTAATGTAGTCTCATTGGGATGAACAAAAGCAAATATTAAAGTCTTCATCATTGTCATCACTTTTCAGTGTATGAATGTTCATTGGTTTGTATTAGGATGTGACAAGTAAGTATATTCTAAGTTGAAAATATCACTAAGTTCAAAATGCTTTAAATGTACAACACCTACTGAGCATCATAGCTCAGCAACCCCAAACACCATGGAGGATTGGTGGTTTGACTTCCTTCTTGACTGTGTTATTAAACTGGAACTATGGTTCACTGCCACTACCCAGCACAGTCAAAGAGTTGCATAGCACACAGGACGAGCCTACGAAAGACCTCACATCAAAATTTAGATCAAGACTTCTACAGCATGAGAAACACTTTTGCACTATTTCAAAAACTGTAAAAATTTAAGAGCCACTGTAAGACAGGACATATCTGTACTATGGAGTAAATTGTTTTTAGTGCTATGGTATTCCATCAGTTAGAGGCAGGGCTCTGGAGTACAATTTCTCAACTACTGTGTGATCTTAATTAGTAATTTGCATGCTACTGTTTGAACTTTGGTGCCTCACCTGTGAACTGGGAGGCACTAACCTCTTTGCTGCATGATTTTAAGTGCTGTCTTATCAGAGTGGTTGATGTAAAATAAGCACCCAATATGTACTGGTTGCTATGGCAGCCGCAATGCTGCTGCTGATTACAAGAAAAGTGACAATAACATTGCACAGCTGTTTTACTCTCTAGTACTGGGACAATGCCCATGGACCTTAGGCACTTCAAGAATACTGTGATTCCTCATTTTACCTTGGTCAAATTTCTGGCCTTAATGATCAAGTTCACTGAAATTACAGGATAGGAAAATACTTAGATTCCACCCCAACTCTTCTCATCAGAGTTTCTGCTTGTGTTTCTCATTCATTCTTAATAGACAACTACAATAGACTCTCACCTGGAATTTTGTAATTGGTTCCTTAGAATCTTTGGGTCCATCTAATCTACCCTATCCATGCAGACCCTTTGAAGCAATAAGGTAATCAGTATGCTCTTTTACTGATTCTTGCAGCTTTCCATGATGCCCTGTTTAAATGGAGCCTCTGAAAACTGTATACAGTCCCTTATTTATAGACAGCTACCCTTCACAGAGCACATGCAGACTCCATGCCCTTGGACTGCACCGTGCAGGTCCTCATGCTATTGGATTATCTCTGGCTCAGGAACCTAGAAGATTTGCTGTTCCTCCCTCTTCTCCATCCCTTTCCTATAAAGACTTGGCTTATGTTTAGAGAACCACTCAAACGCTACCTTCCTACTGCAGTTCTCCCTTCCCATGTCCCAAACACTAAAGCCATCTTTATGGTGCCATCACATACCAGCCTGCCTCAGAAAGATGAGAAATCATGCTGCATTACAGCTACAGCAGCACTCTGTCTCTCTCCCTAGTGACCAAGTGCATGAGGAAAGGTGGGACTCCTGCATCTTAGACTTGGAGGCTATGAAAGGCATGGACTGAATTCCTCTCTGAGAGGAGGATTTGGAGAACAGCCTGAACAGAATTCCAATGCTAAGGGAGGCAAAGCTTGGAATGAAAGCTTTCGGCTTCCTTCCCATTTTTTTTTTTTTTTTTTTCAGATCATCAGCTTCAAAAGAAAGATTACAGGGAGAAGAGGCACCAGGCCTATAGTCATGTTGATTTATTTGTATTGCCATTTTAATTATGAATTATTAATTATCTAGCAAACAGCTGAAGTGCTGGTAGATTCCAAACCACCCAAGTCATTGGCAGGAGAGAATTACAGCTACTGTTCAGTTCTGACAACTCTGCAGCCTGCAGTTTCACACTGCTGAGACCTCACAGGGAAGACTTTTCAAGGAGAAGTCATAAGTAACCAGCAGAACATTTGAGCTCTTGAGGGAATCCACATTAGCAAATAAATAAAAATTGCTTCACTTATAAATCTGCCATATTGGGGGTTATTTCTGCATTAGGAATTGCCCTGAAATTTCAGTGCACATATTTTACCAAAATACACATAGAAAAAAAAACAGTGCATTTCCAACTATACTGTACACTCTGGAGAAAATGGTTCTACCTGTTTTTCAGTATTTTCCAGCTTGTTAAAAAAATAGGTCTGGGCATAGAAATGTCAATACGTGTTTTCTCATTCCTATAAAGCAACAACTTCTGTGCAGCTTCCAAATATTCTCAAAATAATACCTGCTTTATCCAGAAGTGCTAGGCCATCTTAAGGCCTCTTTATGAAGACCCCAGAGTTTCTCTGGAAGGAATACAGACACAGCCTGAGCAAGCACAGTTGTATTTGTGTGTAGTGACTTAATAAGCCACAACCATGGTGCCTTGGACTGGGACTCCCAGCATGGAACCCACTACACAGGTGTCATTTTTACTGTTATGGTGTTTCTTGTATTAGTTTAAAGAAAGCATGGAAAGGGGGATGGTAACTTAATGTGATCTCTGCATTTTTCAGATATCTAGCTAATGCTACTCATTAGGAACAAGCTTCCTATAGTGGATGGCCAAGGCAAGCCAGACTTGCCCCTCTGCCGGGCAAAACTATCTATTATTCCCAGTAAACCAAGAGGACTCTGACATTTTCTCAAAGGAAGAATGATCAACTCCATTACAAGTATATAGATACTCTCAATAAGACAGGAAGATAATGATTTGGAAAGAAAAAAGTCTCACTTGTGAAGTCCTTGGTAGCCAAAATTAGTGTCTAACTACTTGTTCAAATG